AGCAACTCATAAGTGGAAAGAGCCATCTCCAACAGAGTCTAAAAAATGAAGGGGGCACAGCTTGTTCGCTGTGATTCGAACCCAGGTCTGAGTTTGAAAATCCCATGAACTTGCAGCTAGACCTTTCCCCAAAACATGTTTTGAGCCTCGCATTTTGGATAGAATCACAGAGGATGACATTTTATTTTGGAGGCAATGAAGACTGCCCAGCAACTACCATGAACATCTTGGGAAGCTTTGAAGACCATGACTAAATGGGTTCTACTTTGGGACAAGGAGCAAGAGTCTGCTCAATGATGGGGAACTCTTTAAAAGCTGGTATGGGCAATTTATGTGGACTGTAGGTCAGGTGAAGGTCTTATTCCTGCCTTTAAAAAAAAAAAATCATGCCCTAAACTCAAAGCAAAAGTATAACTGGTCACCAACTGATAAAATGCATAAGAACAAACTTCTTCCACTAAGATGTTAGCTTGAGGTAGGGGGAGGAAGGGGTGTGTGTGTGTGTGTAGGGGTCCTGCTGTAGGAGGGGAGTTCAGACCCTCCTACCACTGGCCCAAAGCCCAGGCCTCCCAGCCATGTGTCTGCAGCTGCGACCTGTCATGCACTTCCTGGTCTGGGTTCTGTAATGGAAAGATCATTAAGAGTGGGGGAGGGAGGAGAGCGAGAAGAATCAACAGCGAAGAGGTAACCCTGCAGCTCCTACTCTCCGCTGTGCTCTGACCTTAAAGTCCGGTCAGGTTCCTTAAAGAAAAGAATGTATTGCCCTACCCCCACCTCTCCCACCCCCAGGCCCTCCCCAGGCCCTCCCCAGCCTCTCAGAGGGCTGCCCCTCCCCCAGGCTCAGCGGTGCTGATTTGGGGAAGGAAACGCCAGCAGCTGGCCAGGAAAAAGTTGTCACTCCCTAAACTTGCTGATGCACTAGTAGAGGCCTCAGCTGTTTGAGAATGTGTCTTATGGACCCCCAAAACCACAATAGGTGTGCTGCACTGCACAAGTCACCAGGACTCTCAGCACCCCAACATTCTGCCAGCCCCACACCCCCATCAGGTCTCAATCCTGTGATGGTGGTTCTGGGTGGCCTGGGTCAGAGCCCTGCCTAAGGCCCACTCCCAGGTGGGGAAAGGAATGATTTCTTCCTAAAGTAACATTTTTCTCAATGTAAAGAAATGGCCCGGGCTGGGGCTGGGGCTCAGTGGTAGAGAGCTTGTCTAACATGCATGAGGCCCTGGGTTCCATTCTCAGCAGAACCCCCCTCCCCACAAAAAAAAAAAAGCTCTTATTTTCACTTTAAGAGAATAAAAGTGATAAAACATCCTCTTAAAATGACATAATATAGATGATGGTTCAAGGGGCTGAGGGACAGGAGAAGGAGGCGCTGATTAATAGGTATGTCAATTAAGTTCTAGTGGAATGGTAGTGATGGCTGCACAACAATGTGAACAAACAATACCACATAACTGTGCCCTTGACAATGGATAAACTGGTGTATTTCATGTTATGTATGTTTTATCCCAATAAAAATAATTAAATGGTGATGGGGCTAGACACCAATAGCTTATTTAAAAATGTGCTCACTCAGTAAAATAAGTTGAGAATCCTACATGGGTTTCAAAATATGAGGAGGGGAATTATACTGGTCCTAAATCTAAAAATGTGGGACCAAGGGTCAGTTTCACAGATTTCCAGGCCTGTGGAAACCCAGAAGTTGCTTCATTTATATGCCATCTTCCACATACCAGGTATTCATCATTTAGCCTCCTTCTCTCATACACACAGCATCAAAGATGAGCATTTTACTCTGTTTTAAGAATTAAACACATAGTTTCCGGGTTTTTCTACTTAGGATATTATGGCTTTCAGGTAGAGCACATAGAAGAATGAGCCTGGTGTGTATGTGCCTTTGCTTCCACAGGGATCCAGGACCACTAGAATCCTGGGGAAGAGAGGTCTTTTGCAGAAATCATTTAGTCCCCAACTCAGCTTGAGCCACACAGGTGGCTGTCACTGGCTGGATGCAGCAGAGGCAGCATCCGAGTAGAAATCACTCCACTGGCTAACCTTACCTCTAACCATGTGACCCCAGGCAAGTCACCTTCCTTGACAGCTTCATGCTCTGTGAAATGAGGAGGCTGACTTGAAAAGTTTTCTTCCACCTCTAACCAATGTCCTGGGTCCCAACAGGGACTTGCTGGATGGAGGAGTGTCATCCACTGACTTCCCCACCTGCCCCCAACCAAGAGCACACTGATGATGGGGGAGGGAACCATCTCTCCATGTAACTGTCCTTTAAGAAAAGGGAATCTTATGCTTAGTGAAGCTAGCCAATCCCTAAAAAACAAATACCAAATGTCTTCTTTGATATAATGAGAGCAACTAAGAACAGAGCAGGGAGGAAGAGCAGGAAGAAAAGATTAACATTAAACAGAGACCCGAGGTGGGAGGGAAAGGGAAAGAAAAGGGAAATTGCATGGAAATGGAGGGAGACCCTTATTGTTATACAAAATTACATATAAGAGGTTGTGAGGGGAATGGGAAAATAAACAAGGAGAGAAATGAATTACAGTAGATGGGGTAGAGAGAGAAGATGGGAGGGGAGGGGAGGGAGGATAGTAGAGGATAGGAAAGGTAGCAGAATACAACAGTTACTAATAGGGCATTATGTAAAAATGTGGATGTATAACCGATGTGATTCTGCAATCTGTATTTCGGGAGTTCATAACCCACTTGAATCTAATGTATGAAATATGATATGTCAAGAGCTTTGTAATGTTTTAAACAACCAATAAAAAAAGAAATAAAGGTCCATCAACGACTAATAAAAATATTAAAAAAAAAAGAAAGAAAGAAAAGGGAATCTGTTTTGGTCACAGAACTCTGGCCACCAGCACCTTCAATAAATGCTTCTCATCTTCATCTCTTCTAAGACTAGCAGAAAACTCAGTATTATTCAAGAATTCACTTCATGATCCTTTTTTGATGCTAATGGAATACAATCCCATGAGAAAAGTTAGGTCAATAAATTTTTCAAATGCATTGGGAATTTGTGGATAACAAAGAAGGGCTAACCTGACAAAATAAAGACCACTTCCAACCATATCTCTCAGGCATTAATAGGGTTTTGACCATTCAAACAACAAATCATAAGTTTTGGACACCAAGGGGTGAATTTTATTCTAGGTTCAAAGGCTAATTCCTAACAGCAAAGGAAAAAAACTTAATTCCAAAAATAAATCCTCAAGTTTGACCATAAAGGAGCACATTCCTAAAGGGGTGGAGAATATGCATCCCAAAGATAAAGATAATGGACTTAATGCAGGAGGGTGTTCCAGGAAGAGGGTCTCTTTCCTTCCTAGGACGGCTTCTAGAACACTTCCCTATTCCAGTCTCCCCAACGGAGCCCTCCAAGGTGAAAGTACTCATCTTCTCCCACCTCTCCCCACTTTCCAGCCTATCATGCCTTTCTCCTCCCAGAACCTCCAAAGTTCCATCTTCATTCACCTCTTCCCAGCACAGGGGTTAGAGCAGTAGGCAAAGACCTGATCCCGAACCACTCCACCAATCTATTAGCTGTTGAACCTTAGCAAGTTTTGAGACTTTGAGCCAGTCTCCTAAGCTGCTAAATGGCAACAATGCCTAGCATATAGACTTTCTGGGTATGGGAATGAATTGAATTCAGAGATTCTCAAAGTGTGGATCCCAGGACTGGTGGCAGCAGCATCAACCTGGGAACTTGTCAGTACCAAGGTTGGGCCCTTTTTCAGAATCAAGAGGACCAAAATGTAGTGATGTGCTTTAACATGCCCTCCAGGAACACTGAACCAGGAAAAATCTAAGGACCACTGTACCGTGTGAGGTAAGAGTTTACTACATGGTAGCACAAACTGTTTTCTCATTGATTTTCTTTGTCTTCCTAGCTTTGCTTTTTTTTCTTCCTTCCTTCCCAGTTTCTTTTTCTTTTTGGTACTAGAGATGGAACCCAGGGGCACTCTACCACTGAGCAACATCTCCAAACCTTTTTATTTATTTTTTATTTTGAGGCAGGTTCTCACTAAGTTGTTGAGGCTGACGTCTAACTTGTGATCTCTTGCTTCAGCCTCCCAAGTTGTTGGAATTATAGGTAGGTGCCACAGTACCCCAATAGCTTTTCCTTTTTAAAATTAGAATTTTTAGATATATTTTTAAAAAATGACAATGGATTGCAACCTACTTGTGAAATCATCTACTTAAAAAGTATTAATATGTCCAAGACATCTGTATGTGTGTGTATATATATGTATATGTATTTACATATACATATGTAAATAGATACACAGTCTCCAAGTTACAATGTTTCAATGTAAGATTTTTCAACTTATCTGTAGGAAGAACGTGATACACATTTAGTTGAAACTGTGTTTTGAGTTTTATCTGTTTTCCGACATGCCCTACACTGGGCATCAACAGTGAGCTGCAGCTTCAGGTAATTAATTGATAATCTATAGTATACTGGATTCCTGATGTCGGTTTGGATAGATATTTTATAAGTGATATGAGATATTAAACACTTTATTATAAAACAGGCTTTGTGTTAGATGATTTTGCAGGCTAATGTAAGTGTTCTAAGCATGTTTTAAGATCAGCTAAGTAAGTTAAACTATGATGTTAGGTAGGTTAGCAGTATTAAATGCATTTAACTTAGAATGGGTTAACAAGATGTAACCCCACTATAAGTCGAGGTGCACCTATGTATATACATATAAAAAGAGACAGAGATAAAGTCACGCTCTGTATAATGTTTTGGTCAATAATAAGCCACATACGACAGTGTTCCCATAAGATTATAATTGAGCTGAAAAATTCCAATTTCCAGGGACATTATGTCAGTCCTCAAGTCACAGAGTAAGTAACACATCATTCATGTGTTTGTAGAGAAGCTGGTATAACAAACTTACTGTGCTACTACTCATATAGCACATCCAATTATATACAGTATATAATATTTAATAATGATAATTAACTGGTTTATGATTTATGATAATTCTTTTAATTGTTATTTTAGTATGTATTTATTCTAGTTAAATATAAAAAAGCTTACTTTTATATTTAATGTTGCTGGCAGCATTATGCCAGTAGCAGCCTCATATATCTCATGTTTTCTGTGTCTTGACTCCATCATTTTCTCTTGTGCTTCATTTAAATGGTGTCATCTCACTCATCACAACCACAGGAGTAGTGGGCTACACCATGTACACAGATGCACACTCTAATTGTCCTATGAGTGTGGGAGGCTGTGCTACATAGGTTTGTGTAAGCACTCTATGATGGTCCCACTAACATGAAATCTCCTAACCGTGTACCTCTCAGAACATACTGACATCATCAAAGGGACACCCAACTCTGTGTGTGTGAACACGCTATTATATATACTATAGCGTACAGCAGTCAGTCAATTTACACCGTTCCTTTGAAAAGAGGCCATCCTATGTCATTTCATATGTCCTCATATAATCTAGGGTCTAATGTCTTTATTTGATGTGGGCTTTGAATATTACTTCTATTTTTTCTTTTGCACCTTTTTATTTTTTACCATCTAGAAAATACTATGTAATTATATTCAAGTTGAAGTCCACACTTTAGCTGTTGTAGTTCAAGAACTATCAATATTGATATCACTTGGGAACTTAAAATGCTGATTCCTGGGCCCTTGCCCTGCCAAGGTCTGCATTTTAACAACACTGGATACTACTACTTCTTCCTTTTTTTTTTTTTTTAATGTATATACTTTGTGTATTTTAGCACATTTTACCTTTAAAACAAATTTTGTACAATATGTCAAATGTATCTCTGAGTAGTTGAACAGTGGTTTAAAAAAAAAAAAAAGCTAAGTATATACCTAAGCTGTAAGACTTAGTTTCATGCCATTATCATCTGACTACTGGGGGGAAAAACATCTGAATTACAATAACCCATCTCAGCAAAATTTTCCAATTCATATTAGAAGGGCTTTGATTTACAAATCTCTTTTGAAAAGGCAATATTAACACAATTCACATCAGAACATCCAGTTAATACAATTAACAACAAACCAGAATTTTGCTATATGGTAGGACTTTCTACTGGTCTCTCAGTTCCTTTGGCCTTCTGATTGCAGACTTGACTGTGATAGCAGAAGTGGTGTTGTAGGTCCAGGTGCCACCAGCCACTGTTTTCATGCAGGGACTACAGTGCCAGATCCCCAGAGCCCAACTCTTTCTCATGGTTTTGCCACAGAAGGAACATGTGTACTTGGCGTGCTGGCTGATTTTAATCTTCTTCACTATTTTCCAGAGGGAGGCACCGTAGCGGGTCCCATATTTACCAATGATTCCGACTTTCTTAGTGCGTTTAGCCCTGTCACCACGACTTAGGCCCGAGACCGAAGAGTGGATACTATTTCTTAAATGAGTCATTTATTGTATTTGTGTAATTAAGAGTTAATGCTGGCTGGGCCTGGGCCTGACCCATACATAGTGAGGGTAGGGGTAGGATGGCTCACTCAAACATTCAGGAAAGGTCTACAAGACTTTTACTGTTTCTTCCCAAAAGGTTACATGGATAGTACCAACTGACAGAACCAGAGGAAAACATTCCCTAACTTTCAACAGGTCTGGTTTCTATTCCTAGGGCACTACGAATAGTGTACCACAAATTGATACATACCTTTAAAATCCTGTAATTATTCTGTGGTACTACCTTGTAATATAAAATTTTGTTTATACATTAATTTGTTAAATATAAACACTAAGAAAAACAAAATTTTAGACCCCACTCCACCCCAGTTTTTGCACTTAAAGAAAAATAACACTGTAGCCTTAAAAAAAAAAAAAATCCTAAACCCCAGTCTTTATGAACCTTCTGACATATTTATTTTCATCCAGAAATCTAGGTAGGTTTTTTTTTTTTTTTTTTTTTTTGGTACCAGGGATTGAACTCAGGGCACTTAACCACTAAGCCACATCCCCAACCCTTTTTTGTACTTATTTAGAGTTTCACTGAGTTGCTTAGGGCCTCACTAAATTGCTGAGGGTGACTTTGAACCCTTGATCCTCCTGCCTCACCTTCCCAAGCTGCTGGGATTACAGGTGTGTACCATTACACCCAGTTTACATCTATGTAGTTTTTGTGTCTAAGCAATACTGCTGCATTCCGGACTAAGTGTGACCTACAAAAAACTCAGGTATGGTATCTGATGCTTGAGCATCTCTGATCCTAGATCTCTCCCAAGTATGAGGTCTGTGGCTACTGTGGAAAAGAAAGGGTTTTGTTCCGTTGATTCTTCCATGCTTAGGGAACCACTGTCATTAGGGCAGCTCAGACTTGTGACTGATGTGGAACCTCACAGTACAGAACAGAATGTCACAGGAGAGATGACTCAAGGCAAACATCTCAAAGAGAGAAGTCAGATTCCTGTGAGATAAGGAGGACTAAGCCAGCAATGTTTATTTTTGTTATTTTTTATATTATTATTATTTTTTAAATCTCTTTTTATTTTATTTATTTTTTGTGTGTGTGATATTAGGGATTGAAACCAAGAACACTCCACCACTGAGCTACATCCCCAGCTCCCTTTATTTTTTGAGATAAGGTCTCATTAAATTGCCCAGGTTGGTCTTGAACTTATAGTTCTCTTGCCTCATGCAGGGATGTTCAACAAAAGGTGTTCTGCCTCAATTTTGTGGGGAATCCAATTTGATATAGGTATGGAGAGCAATAGAGAAGGAAAAAAATATCATCAGACCTACCGGAATTTGAAACCTCATGCTACCCCTCTCCAACTATACAATCTTTGAGAAGTTACTTAATTTCCTGAACTTCAAACTAAGGTTAAATAATCTCAAGCTAATCATGGGCATGAATCTTGTGTCCATGGGTTCATTATAAAGAAGTAAAAATGTAAACCATGCAGTATAAAGATGCTTACTATTAATTATGATGATGATGGAACCCAGGGCCTTGTGCATATGGCGAGTACCCCCAGCCCCAGCCCTGCTTTCAAAAAGATTTTCACTGGCACAACCTTTCTGGGGGGCAGTTTGATATAGTGATGATATCAAAACATTTAAAATGTAACTACCCTTTGATACATGAACAAATTTTATTTTTAACAGTATGTTCACTCAAGTGCAAATTACTAGAAATAACCTAAGTTACTCCCAAAGAGGAGGACAAGATAAACAAATTTTGTATACTCACAATGGAATACTAAGTAGTTATCAGGCATGATGAAAAGCTTTTGTGTATGACAATAAATATAGACTTAAGTTATAAATCAGTACATATAGTATAAGTCCATTTCTGAAAGTTTGTATAAAGGCAAGAAAAAAGTCTTTTAAAAAAATAATCATTTTTGGATGATGGGAGTGTAAGTTTTTCTTTCTTTCTTTTGTACTAGGGATTAAACTGGGGGAGCGGGGTGTAATATTACCACTGAGCTACATCCCAGTCATTTTTATTTTTTATTTTGAGATAGGGTCTTGCTTAGTTGCTGAGGCTACCCTCCAACTTGTGATCCTCCTGCCTCAGCCTCCTTAGTAGCTAGGATTATAGGTTTTCTGTATTTTCTACAATGAACTCAGACTACATATCAAAATAAGAATGTTTTAAAAGAACAATATTCTTGC